CCTAAGAGATCAAAAACCCAGAAACCAGTTCACTGGTTCTTGAAAATCATAGAAGAATAGTATAAAAGGAAAGAAGAACTCGGAAAGCAACAAGAGTAATGATGCCTCATGACTTTAAGATTCGTTAGATGGATTTTAGAGTAACTAAAATCTAATATCTTGGTTTAAACTCAAATAATTGGGACTAGATAAGTTAAAAATTATCATTGTAAACATCCTTATAAGATTAGTAAAATTGGTGAAAGACTCGATTATTTCTCTCATACTCGATGAACTAAATTATGGGTAAGAGAACTATCCAAGCAGGTAAATGCATCAACTTCTTTTTCAAGTGTATGTATGCTCACTAATGCAGAGGTCGCCATGTCATAGAAAGCTAGCTTAATAAGGTTCTACTCGTGATAGCACCCCAACTTACAATAGAAAGAGGCACTAAAAGAACAAATGGTCATGTATCTAAACTTACGACTTATGAAGGATACATATCGAAGAGGGAATGATATGAAAAAAGCATGCAGTTTGTCCATAGTTTGAAGATGACCCATATAAGTATGCTAAAAGATAGATGAATAACTCATAATGAATCTTGAGAATCAAAGTAGATTATGTATAGAGTCTATAAGTCTATAATTTCTAAGAATCTCTCATGCTAAGTCAATAGAGAATCTCCCTGAAGAATGACATTTCCATACATAATGATCTAGTAAAGCACTCTTGAGGTGAAAATAAATTGAGTCCTAAATAGGTTGATGTTTCGGACTACCAGATTAAAAGGTCCAATTACCCTTCTTAATGATGCTGAGAACATGACATCCCAAGGTAGCCTAGTAAAGGTTAGCATCTTAAAAGGAAAGAGGTTATAAAACTGTTGTCCATATGGTAACCAATGGTCTAACCATAAATTAGTAGTAGTTTCATTACCAATATAAAAGACAAACTTTTCTCTACACCAATCTTTGTTGAAAAAGATCTTTTCTTCATGACCAAGAGGACACTGAAGAAGGCTTGATATGCCAGGAAGATTTACCTCTAAACAAAACATTATAGGCCCATTCTAACAAATTTGATGATCTCCCTTAAAGGAGTCTTCAAACGTGCTTGAGAATAACTGCTCTATTTCAAGTCTGAACTCTCTTAATTCCCAGGTAATTCTCTTTCAAGGGATAACAAATAGAAGCCTATTTAACCTTAGCCCTCAAGTGGAAAAGAGAACATTCTTTCAAAAAAAAAAAACATCTAAAATACCCTCAATCCATTTAATAATAAAGTAAAGAAGAATACATGTGGAGGATCAATAAACATAAAGTTTAAAAAAACTCGATCCACTTGAAAAAATACATATTAAATTAATGTTGGAAATAATGTAATTATCCTATGTTAACATTACAGATATGTGCATATCACATGTTTTGAGTATGGAAATTTTAGTTTAATTAACAAAAAAATCTTATTAAATCTCTAATTTTATTTATAGAAGGAGTACTAGCACAAAATAATTTATGGAAAGACTTATTTATGCTTTAACTGCTGGTTAAAAAAGATTTATATAATCTATGCTAATGTGAAATTTAAATTTGATTTACTTGGAAATATGAATTTTTCATGGTATAATTCTTTAGATGAAGGATAAAATTTATCCTTCATTCAATGCTTTTTTTAGTATTTTTTAATTAGTCATTATTTTCTTATATCCAATTAATATCAATAATTTTTCAAACTTTTTTCTCTTTTTCTACTAGTAATTTACTTTTAATTTATTTACCAATACATTAAAAGTAACAATGACTATATTGTTCGTAGAGACACAAAACACTAATCATTTAGTGGCTTTTTTCTTATTTCTATGACTATCATGGTTGTTTGTCATAATTTTTTTATTTTGATCCTAAAATTTATTTTAGTTATGTGTTTTTGTCCTTAACACAATTGGTATAAAGAAGAGGACAAAAATTGAAAAGAGAAGAGGTAGGAGTGAGAAGTCAGTAATGTCATATTATTAACCACATTTGCGGAGAAAAAAAAATAATGTCTAAAAGGTCGCCTTGATAAGATAAAATTGTTTAGCATCCATAAAAAACACTTTCATGGTAAGGGGATGAAGTTCAAAACCAAGATCTATTTTCATTTTAAGATTTTGATTTTATTTTTGAACCATTTTAAGGTGGATTGGGATAGGTTGGAGAATTGAAAACATGTTCGTGGGTATTGTGGAGACGAGGATTGAGTCTTTTTTGATGCAACTAGTGAAAAAAAAGTGTTTTGAAAACATTTAATTTGTTATCCTTGATTTTACAAGAATAATCCAATAGTTGAAGAAAACACAAGGGAGTGACATGTATTTCAGTGTTTTTTTTTTTTAATGAGCATTTAGGTCTATATATGTGCTTAATAATGTAGTGCATAATATTTTTTAATTGAAAACATATTAAAATAATATTTTTATAATTTTTAAAACATTTAATTGGTTGCTCTTGATTTTATAAGAATAATCCAATAGTTGAAGAAAATACAAGGGAATGACACGTATTTCATTGTATTTTTTTTTAATGAGCATTTAGGTCTATATATGTGTTTAATAATGTAGTGCATAATGTTTTTTAATTGAAAACATATTAAAATGATATTTTTTTTATATAAGCATATCAAAAAAATTAAAAAATATATAAAAAATTATTAATTTAATATTTTTCAAATATAAAATAATTTGAAAAATAACTTCATCTATAAAAGCAAACAATCATTGAGCTTAGAGACACTAGGTTAGATTTTCTTTCTTTTCAATATATTTAGTTTTTAATTATTTTTTTCTAAAAACTTCTTTTTTATTTTTTTTTATGACTAAAGATTTTGTGAGATCCTATAATTAATTGATATGCTTTATTTTTTTTATATAAATTTATGATTTTATTTTTGGTGTGTTTGTAATTATGTTGATTTTTCACACATCTCAAAATATATTATCAAATATACATATAATAGTTTTTTATTTTTTTATTGAAGAGTGTTAAAGACATGTAAAAAATAATAAAATTATAGATGGGTGATAATAATGATTTTTTTTTAATTTTAAAAAATCATAAATTTATTATGTATGATTTTAAAAATCTTTATATAATAGATCAGTGGAATTTAAATGTGTACTAAAATTTATTTTCAAAAACATTTTCTTTGCTACAAATAGTCTAAATTTACATTGATTTTTTAATAGTATTTTATTTTTTATTTATTTTTCAATTATATATGTTTGAAATTTATTTTTTTCTTGTTAAGAATTACATATGGAAATTTAAAATAAATTATTCTTTTAATTTAATATTTATTTAGTATTTTACACTTATCAATATTTTTCAAAATTATTTTTAATTGAACTTATTTAAGAAATTTAAACATTTGTTTTGGTCCATAACAAGTTTGATCCTTGAATTAGTAAATATCTTAAGAAATTAATGTTTACATTAAAAAAATCTACTATTACTATATTATATTATATAACGTGGTATAATATTATTATATTTTAAAAATAAATGAAAAGCAAAACCTTATTATTATTGGACTATTGTCAATTTATGTTTGCAAAAAATACGTTATCGTCCTTAAATCTGTCTCTGTCTCTTTTTTAGGTGTTTCCATCCTTATATTTTTTTTAAAATTATAGTTTTTAGCCCTATAATTTTTAATATTTACATTTCAATCCTAAACTTTATTTTTTTATGTTTCAATCCCTGTTAGTTGATATAAAAGTGAGAAAATTATTGAAAAATAGGAGGAGAAAAAATCTTCGAATTTTTTATATTTCAAACATAAAATATTATTGATAATGGTGTTAGTGAATTTATTTTGAAGAGAGGGAGTTTGATGTTGGTAGTATGATATTCACCCATGCTAAAAATGTACATCATAATCTGAATTTTTTTTATTTAATTTACTTGTTTTATTTTCAAAGAGGGTGTTTTAAAGTTAGAAATAAGGTTACTAATGTTTATACTTTATATGATGATTTTTTAAGGTTAAAATAGATTGAAAATTAGTTTTGGAGGGTTTTAAAATTTGAACTTTGATATTTTAATCATTTGAGATGATCTGATTTTTTTTCTTCTAATAAATGACACATTATTTTTTTTTATTTTATTTTATAAAAACATCAACACATCATAACAAAACCTAAACATGTTGGTTTGTCTTTTTAGTCTTAGGCGCACTTGTTTTTTTTTTAAATGATCAATTAAATTATTTTTTATTTTTTATTTTAGTATACAATTATTTTAATTAAAATTATTAAATATTTTTTAATTTTTTATCTATTTATATCATAGTTTTTAAAATAAGATTAGAAGTCTTGATGATAATATTAATAATTATTTTATGAATAATTATATATGAACTGATTTTTTTAATTTGATTATAAATACTCAATAAGATTAAAAGTTGTATTTTATTATTATTTTAATTATTTAATTTTATAAAATTAATTACTTTTTTTAAATTTTCATAAAAATCACAAAGTCGTATTTTTTTTTATTTTTCTTATTAAAAATAGTTTTTGAAATCATGATACATTTTTTTTTTTTTTTAAGTTCTTATAATAATAAAACTATTTTCATTAAAATAATAATAAAACATAAATTAAGAAAGATGAATTTTAATTAATGATTATATTTTCTTATCTTTAATTAAATTATTAAAAAAAATTATGAATACTTATTTTAATCATCTTTAGTTTTGAATTAAAAATCTGTACTACTAATTAAAATATATGTTTTATTAAAGTTAAAAAAGTAAGAAAATGAAAATTTGGGGTAAAAAGGTACATTTTTCTTGGGTTTTTTTATAAATATTTATTTTAATTATAATAAAATTAAATAAAAATAAATTTCAAAAAATATTCCAGGACATAAATACACAGACCAGTAATATCTATTCATGTAATAACTTATCCTCATTTTTTAACCCCATCCCTTTAAATTTTTAAAATAAATGCATCACCACAGTCACCCAAAAAAAAAAATCTAAAAATTTGAAATCCAAATCCGCGCTCATCGCAATCAAATCTTCACCGTCAATAATCAAATCCCATCTCTCTCCCTCCGGCTTCCTCACAGAACAGAATATTCGCAGTCTTCTCTTAATTTTTGTAACTCATCAGTGAACTTATTGATTATTAATTAATGGCGTCGATTCCTTAAGGAGGAGGAGGAGAAGAAGAAGGAGGAGGAGAAAATGACGACTACGATAGAGAAGCTGTTTCTTCAGATCTTTGAAAGGAAGTTATCGATTTTCGAGCAAGTCAAGCACCAAACCGATCTCTTCGATCACCGCCTCGCCTCTAAATGTGTTCTTGATGGAACTGCCCCTCCTCCCTGGCTCCTCTCCCCGTCTCTCTCCTCCCTTCCAAATGGTAATTTCACTCTCACGGAATCGGCTTACGGGATACTAGGGTTTAAATTTCTGTTTTAATTCCAATTTTTATGAATGTTTTCCATATTAGGGTTTCCGGGTTTTTCAATTATAGTGGAGATAGTTCTGTGGCTGTTAATTAAAGTCAAATTAATTCATGGACACCTTTTGGTTTACACATGATAGTTGGATTAGAGTTTTCAAAGAGTATATATATATATTTTTTTTTGTATGGATTAATGGAATGGAATGGTGCCAAGGTTATAGATATATATATTTTTTAATTTTTTTTCCTTGTAAATTTCATAAATGAGTTGCTTGTGGTTTGTTTCTTTTCTCAATTATCTGCAAACTGCTGTGTTATTACAGAAAATAAAGAGGATCTCATATCAGGACTCTTACTGCCGCGTCTTCACCCTGCAAACCCTTATTCCACTAGTGCCTACTCAGTACAGCCTGTTATTACTACCAATACCAGTGACCTGCCAAGTGGTTTACACACAGAACTTGGCCTTGTCAACAAAAGATTCGATTCAGGTTATAGACTGTCTGTTTTGTCACAGTTACCTGTTATTGATGGCGTTCAATGTAACTTAAATGGAGTTCCTGAGCTGGAATTTAATGATGCGTCTCCACAAGATTGTAGAGATGCAAGAATGCCAGACATTGTACCTGATCACAGCCAATCACTGGCGAGGATTCATAGATCCAAATCAAGGCAAAAGGCTCTGGAGCTTCGCAATAGTGTGAAAACGGGTAAAACCTGTCCACGTGCTGAAAATAATGTTGGTTCTTGTACTAGTCGATTTAGAGGGTCTGGGGTTACTTCTCTACAGTTTGACCATGTTGATCAGTCAGAGTCGCTCAAACTTCTCAAGGCAAGTAATAAAAGTTGCATCGGAGAAGAGGTGAAAGTAGGTGAATGCATGGTAAAGGAAAACTCTAGTGATGTTTACCATGGCAGAAGTACAAGATCTAGAAGTTCTAGACTCAAAGCCAGCTATGTAAGTTCTAGACTTAAAGCCAGCTATGTGAATGAGTCCGGGAATGTGTGCACCTCTACTTGCCTTGCCAAAGAAGATGATCCTAGAGAGTCTATTTCAAAACGACAGCCTAACCAAGTTGAGTTGACAGAACTTGTTTCTGTTGTTGGTCATGCAAGTTCTGAAGCACAAATGGAAAATGAAGACAATCACAGGGGCAATGAAATGGCTACCATCATGTATTCTGTTGGAGTTCCAAGATGTACGAGTTCAAGCCCTCAACCCAACTCTACAAGGAAGCCTCTGGACATGAATAATTCTTCCTATATCGACAACAAAGACAGTAGGATTAGAGAGTCTATTGATGATCCATCACTGCAGCCCAATTGTGTCAATGAGATATCAGAAATGGCCAAACCTTCATCTGTTATCTCCAATGACAGTTATGGAAGGGTGAAAGCAAAAGTAAGTGATAACTGGAGCGAGGAAAAGGGAAGCGGGCTTTATTTTGGGAGAATAACAAGATCTAGAAGTTCCAGCCAACGAGCTGACTTTGTGAATGAATCTTTGAAGCTGGACGGCTCTTGCAGTAATGCTGAGGAAGAACCAAGGCAGCTTTCCAACCCTGTTGATGACTTTAGGGAATTGGTTAAACCTTTCAACATCACTGATGAAAGTTGTGAAGTGAATGAAAAAATGATGAACTACCAGAACAGTGAAGAGAGAACTGATTCTTATTATGGAAAAATAACAAGATCCAGAAATTCCAATCAGCAACTTGGAGTTGATGGGCTTCCAATACTGGATACTTCATCTAATATAGCAAAGGATAATGATGGTTCACTCTCACAGTCCTTCGGCAGATCTTCAAAACCTCATCAAACATTGAATCAGGTTAGAGAAGAAGGTGTTGACCTCCAGGAAGTGTTGGGTACTCAAGCAAATGCCCTGCCCTGTATTGAAAGAAAGGACATGGTTGACCTGGGTATATGTGACGCAGTTGTTGCAGAAACTGATATCGATTCTGATGGGATAGTTGAAGCTTGTTCTGTTACTTCCAGGTCTAACTCAGATGGTCCCAGTTGTCGAATGGAAGTTCCAGTCTCAAGGCCAGCCACTGACTGTGTTATGCTAGTGAAGCCCAAGCAGCTTGATTTTGATGATGTGGAAGACTGCGGTTGGAATGAAATTGGTGATCCTGCATCAGAGAACAAACAACAGTCTCTATCATCAGAGAGACGGGCTTCTACCTTGTTGCATTCAACAGTTATATTGGATAAAGTATCTGTTAACTCCCAAGAAAAGCCCATCTTGTCCGTTGAGATGCCATTGCTTGAGGACCAGGCAGTTTTTAGTAAAGAAGAAAAACCTTGGAATGATTCATCTGAAGCTTTTGTTAATGAGACTGCTCTTTTTGTTGATGAAAATACGAACTCTGTGCATAAGAAAATTAATTCAGCCATTTCTAAAAACCAAAATGGAGATTGCTACGTCATGGGTTCATGGCCTCAGCATAAGAGGAGAAAGATAGCGGGTCAACTGACTAGTTCCTTTTATGCTTCTACATGTTTGACGAGAAAGCCGTTTCAGCCTATTGTTACGGATCATGTAAATGGAAATATTACTACTATGGAAGATTCAGATACTGTCCAAATATCAAAAGGGTTTTATATGTCTCATATGGGGGATGACATGCAACCAAATGCTATCAAGAGCTCAGTTGAAGACATTCATCAGAACTCAGGGCCCCCTATGGCATGGCCTGAATTCTCATCACCAAAGCTGCAAGTTGAAAAGGTATTCCTTTTGATGCACTGAGGAGCTTTTTAATTTGTCTTCGATGAAATCTGGAATATGGTTCCCCTCTTTCCTGAAAATTTTTCTTATTAAAAAATGGATAATGAAACGCTAGTCTGCTGTTTCATTTTCAGTCTAGATGATAAGTAAAGTTACAAGTAGATGACTTCATATCTATCCACATGCCGTGGAATGTGATTATATTGGCATATCTGTCCACTAATTTTCAGCTTGTGCGGTTGCTGGCAACATATTAGCCTATGCATATGTTCAAATAATTCAACTGCAAACAAAACCAATTAATGGCCCACAGATGCCAGATCAAATTTAATAAAAAGCTTGTAATGTCAACATCCTCCACAAGCGTGCTGCCAGATACTTGGATGCATTTGCCCTCTCCCTCTTCACACAAACCCTGTACTTTCTCTCAACAAATCAGTGGACTAGTTCTTGGTGATAATTAACCCTTTATTTGAGCAAAAAAGCGTGACATTATAGAGGAACTGAATCGAAATACTTGGTAATATTTTTACAACTAACTTGTGCTGCTGAAAGATTGTGCAAAAATTGATACATAAAATAGGTTTTTTCTGGAATGGAATTTGATTGTGGTTTTTTCTGGTTAAGGACTCTGATGCAGAGCATATGGTTAATTGTTGTCTGACAGGTTGAACCTGGCTTGGAAGGAAGGAGCGGAAGTGCAAATAAATGTGGAGCACGCTCACCATCAGGTTTGACAAAATTATCCACTGGAGTTTCTCAAGCTAGTTCATTGGAAAAAGTTCCAGTGGAAAACCCTACTAGTGTGATCTTCGATGAAACAAGGCAGAACACTGCAGAAAAGAACCAGGTGTCACTGCAACTTGAAGATAGATTTGAACTGGGAAGTTCTGAACTTTTGACTTGTACTGAAACAGCCATGCAGGAAAATAGATTTCATGTAGGAAGGAATGGGAAATCACTGTCTAATTCAGTTAGTTCTCCACATAGTCAATCAATGGATTTGATTGGTACCGATCAAAGTATGCCTGTATATGAGTGGTTTGGTATGGAAACTGAGGGAATTGACTTTGAGAAATTGGATCTTTCAGATAATGCACTAGAAAGTGCAATTGCTGTGGAGCGGCTTTGCAAATCTGTTTGCCTTGAAACACCTTTGTCCCATTTTGCTACTGCATATAACAAACATAAAACACTAAATTTATATCAGTCTGTCCCAAATGGAGTTTTAGAAGCGATGGAGTTGAGCACCACCGTTAACACAAACAGTAACACTGGCAAGGAGCTTGAGGCCAGTTTTAAGTGTTTCAATGACAAAGTCAACGACACCTTGCATGGGAGGCTGCATTCTGACTCCCCAGCTTATTCTAATGCTCCATCCACGTGGGAAATCAGAAAACCTTTAATGTCTCCAGTTGGGAAGCTCTGGGAAGGAATCACATCAAGGTCTGGTAGTTCAGAGAAGAGAGTGAGCTCAATTCCAGATCTTCCCTGCATCAGTGAAGAAAATGAGAACATCATTGAGGTACCTGAAACATTTAAGGATGTTGTTGGTTCAGATCAGATGATCAGCTCAGTCAAAAGAGGGTTGCTTGCTGATATTACAAATAATCCTGATCCTCCAATATCAGTTTATGAGTCTGAGATAGTCAGTGATAGATACAGTCTTACTTCTGTGAACACAGAGTGTAGCTACACTGGCACTTGTAGAAGGGACAAATTGAACCATGGAAACCAGAAGGGCAACAGAAGAAAATATAACATTAAGGCAAAGGAGAATCAGAACCTAGTGGGTGTAAATGGTGTCAAAAGAGCCAGTGAATCTCACCATAACAGATTGAGCAAGCCAATCTTATCTGGAAAAACGAGTTTGAGAAAAGGAGGTCTGAGTCTTGCGGAGACCAAGTCTAAACTTAACAATATTGTGTCAAACATTACTTCTTTTATTCCACTTGTGCAACAAAAACAAGCAGCCGCAGTTGTTACAGGTATCATCTGAATCTTTTTTTCTTCTTTTTTCCTGTCTGTTCCCATTAATTGATTATTTATTGAAAAGACTACTCTTTTCCCCTTCCTTCCATAAATGCCTACCATAAAAGATAAATTCATCAGTTTGTGAATCTTTGCATATGCTTTGGTATTACCATATGCTTAAAGCACAGTGTCGCATTACAAGGTTTGGACCCACAGTTTGATTTTTTCATGGTTATGAAAAGATTGCTTAATGCGCAATTGGCAGTGTGGCCCTATAAGAACAATCCTTCACCATTCTGAAGTCTCAGTTTTCAGCTCAAAATCCTTCAATGGGATGAGTACATTTGATCATTTTCCTTTCATTATGTAGTTGAATCTGAAGAATTGGTCAAGGCATGTTCAATTATAAGTTTGCTGAGCCTTGAATCCAATATGGCTGTATTTTTCTCCTGACACACACATGGATTGCTGTTTGTTCATACTTCAGCTTGCTTTTGTTGTTGCTCTGTAACTATTTAACATGTTATTGGTTCAGATTATTCATACTGAAATATTACTGGCAATATGGATCAAGCTATAAACTATGATTATTAACACCTGTTGTCATGGTTTATAAAAAAATAAAATGCTTGATGAGCTGCCTCATTTTATGTACTTGGTCATTTTAGGTTAAGTTCTTGCATTTGATTGTAATATCACAGCAATCCCATGCTATTATTTGGAAATGGTTTACCCTTTCTTCAGTGGTTCCATTTCTCTGTAAAACTTCAGTGTCTATTCAGTTTTCTTAGGATGGTAAACATGCCTAATAAGAGGCATACTGCGATCATGTTACTTATTCATTGAACAAATAGTGTATGTTTATTACAGCATTCCAACATCTCCTCTGTTTCAGTCCATAATTGATTTTCAAATACCGGTGCTTCCTTATAGGGAAAAGAGATGTTAAAGTGAAGGCCCTGGAGGCTGCTGAGGTTGCAAAGCGTCTTGCAGAAAAGAAAGAAAATGAAAGAAAGATGAGGAAGGAAGCCTTGAAAATTGAGCGAGCAAAGATGGAGGAACAAAACTTGAGGCAGTGGGAGCTAGAGAAGGAAAAGAAAGACCAAGAACATAAGAGAAAAGAGGCAGATATGGCAGCAAAGAAAAGACAGAGGGAAGAAGAAGAAAAGAAGGAGAGGGAACGGAAAAGAAAGCGTGTTGAGGAAGCTAGGAGGCAGCAGCAGAAGCAGCAGCTAGTGCACGAGGAAAAGTTACGTGCTGAGAAAGAAGAGAGAGAGAGAAAACACCGAGCTGCAGTATGATCTCTTATGCTTTAATGCAATTCACAATTTCTGTTAGCTGCCAGTATTATGAATGTTATTAATTTTGAAAATGAATTTAGGATGAAAGAGCATTCGAGAACAAGAAATCTAAGGACAAATCAGGAAAGCATGTTAAGATGGAAAAAGAAAAGGGAGACAACAATCTTCAGAAGGTGCCTGAGAGTAAACCTATGACTTCCATGGTTTCAACAATTGATGATGGAAAATCAGAGTTGGGTGATTGTGGTGATAATTCAAAAGAAGTACGTGTTCTTAACATCATTCTTACTTAAATTTTAGCCATAATGCCTTGAAGTTCATGTTTTCAAAAATAAAGTCAAAGTTGCATATAATTCCTATTGGAACATAGGCAACAAGCAAATCGTTGTCCCTTTCTCACCAGAAGGAAGAAGTTTTCTGTTTTCTAATTTCAATTAATGGTGAGTGCTTTTGTTCACATATTTATTATTTTCTGCCTTGTTGAAGTTGGTGGTATCAAGAAGGATTTCTTAAAATTGATGGTTTCACTGAACTTCACGTGCATAGAACGTTCCTTGCAAATGGAGCATTGGCATGACTACTGTTGCCATTTTTATAATGGATCATTGCATGGGAGATTGGATGAAACAACAATAAAAGACTCTTTTCCTCATTACTAGCCAACTTGTAGAAAGTTATCTCATAAAAAATAGTTCTGTTTATGTTCTTCATGTGGTGTACTCCTGCTCAGACTTCCCGTGTTGTTGTAGGAAATGACTGTCTTTTCCAAGGCAGCTGAGAATGGCAACTTAATGTCTAACATAAGCCGAGAACAGGCATATGAGATTTCTCCATACAAAGGTTCGGATGATGAAGATGAAGATGACGAGGATGATGAGACAGAGAATAATAAATTTATTCCGTCATGGGCCAGGTATGCAACTCAATTTTGTTATCTTGATAGAAATCCCTTTAATCAAATTAGGCTTTTAATTCACATAGAACACTACATGCTCAGCAGTGCTGTTTCTTGCCTATCAGTCTTTCTGCTCTGGGAACCACTGCAATAGATGAGATGACAATAGCCATTGTCCTTTGATATTATACTTATTGTTAAATTATATCCAATTTGTCTTTTGAGACTTCAATGTTTCTCAGTGCGTTAATGAAACATTCACAAGCTTATTCTTGCTTTCTGCAGTAAAAATCATTTAGCTTTGATTGCTTCTTCCCAGCAAAGCATAGACCCACGAACCATTTTCACCCCAGACAGCTTTCCTGATAAATCTGAAGGTATATTCAGATAGTAAGGTGTCTTCAACTCTGATTTTTGTTTCTGAACTAAACTGTATTGCTACTTTGTAGTTCTTTTGCCCAGAAAACTTCAGCAAAAACAGCGGGCACACCAATGAAGTTTGATAGCATTGTATTTTTTAGGTCCTTCAGCAATAACTTCAAACCCTCGTCCAGTAAAAGGTTTGCTTTCTTTTTTCCCTCTGGAAGATAGAAAGACTGTATTTGCTTTGATGTGTTGGCATTGCATATTGCTGTGAACATCCCCAGGCATATCTTATGACAGTGACCTTCAATCCTTCATTGTGGCGGTTTACTGTAACAATTCACCACCCTTTGTTTAGCTTTCCACCTCAACTGCTCAATATTTTTAGAAAAAGAAAAAGTTTCAGTCTCAAACTTGGCTGGCTCAATTATTTGGATCCATTGCCTTGATAATATTGAAACATTCTCAGCTGTTGTGACTGCATAAAAACTTTTAGTCTACTTTCGTTTCTTTACTTGCATTACTTGTATCCAATCCTTCCCCATTAGTGCAAATATAGGCCCATGTTAAATATGGCAAACCGAGAACCATCTACTTCCCCTTATTTTCCTTAATGGTTGCCATTCCACCTTTTTCTCATCTAATCCTTTCTTGTGTTTTCAAAGTTCAGTCTTCGGATCCACTTAAACAAACGTGTATATTTTCATAATAACATTCTCATCTAATCCTTTCTTATGTTTTCAAAGTATTCAGTCTTCGCATCCACTTAAACAGACATGTATGTTTTTATACGCAACATTCTCAACTTAGTTACTTCATAGACGTAATTCTTCACTTGGCACTTAATATCAACAATAAATTTGATCTAATTCCAACAAGGATTTAACAGTCACATCACTTTTGTAAGACTTCTTAATTTCAACTTTGGTACTAAAAGTAATGCTGTTAATCTCCTGTTTGAAAATAGTAGTAAGGGAACTAGAGAACATTGCTGAGCATGCCCAATTGTACTAAAGACATGCTTTGATGCAGAGTGCACCTTTGATGGAATTTGTCATACCAGAGATCATTTATCAGAAGCCATGCCCCCCTCTGAAAAAAAAAAAAGCAAAATTTATTGTAATGAGATTTACATTGCATAATTCTTGACCTTGTCTAAAATTTTGGTCATAAAAATCAAATTTACGTAATCTAAACTTTGGTGGGTAATGTAATGTGTTTTACCATTTATTTTTAATTATCATGAAAAACTGAAGTAATTTTGTTTCTGGTCTTCTGTGTCAGGTTTTGATGAAGACTTCATTTGTAATTCATGGGTAGGTGAATTCATAGCACACATAAGTAGCTTAGAATCTTAGGTTTTCAATCATGTGAACACTTTTATAATGTCTCGATTAGCTTTTTTGCAAAGCCAGCATGCATAACAAACTATCCCGTTGTGTTGATGTACCCCTGGTTGTCCAGTAAGCTGTCAAAGCGGGAAAAAGCTTCATGTTCATCAACATGAAGTTGCAAAAACAGAGCATTATTATTAATATGTAGTTTTCATTGTGTGTGGAGGAAATTTTCTAACCGAGGATTTAGAGGAGTCTTAAACTGTTCAACGTCCTGCCGCTGTCATTTCCAGATGCAAGCGGAAGGTAAAGTGATAAAACCTAGACTAGACCTAGAACCAATTGTAATGCTGTCTTTCAACTGAGAACAAATGTAGCTCTAATATTGTTACCTTTAATTTCAAAATCCTGTATGTTTCACAGTATTGTCTAGTGTGTTTAATTTCGTCCTCAGTGGACTGTATTGAGGCCATGCTTGCTTAAACAATAGAGTAAAAACATGATTTCTTCATTAATACTCAATGTTTTCTTAGACCATCTTTTGTCCTTACTGCAGTCTCTGTACAGTATTCAACCCAGAAAGTTTAACTAGTTGTTCATTGATTTCTATATCGTTCCCTATCTTCAACCACGATTTGCATTTTATCCATGTGATGATGATCTCTTTGATTGAACTTTGAAATGCCAGCCGTGCTCTTTTGTTGCTTTTGCTCTTGATTTGAAACCCAACGGCTAGCTTGTGATTATTAACCGTGACCAATGGTTGCGCTTAGTGCTGTCATTTCCCAATCTTCCATGTGAAGTGGGGAAGCATATATGATGAGTCTGCAACAGAAAATTAGAGATAAAGTTTGACAAGTACGCAACAAAAGTACTGGTCAAGAAGAATTCCGGACCCATCAAACAGTTTTTTTTTTTTTTTAACAAAAACAAGCTGTTATATGCATGGCCAATAGGAAAATCCATCGAGTCCTAACTTATTTCTTCATTAGTTTCAGCTTCACTAGTTCTAACACTAATAGTCTTAATTGAACATAATCTTCAATTGCTTTTTTGTTTTTTTTTTAAAAAACCACAGTGAAACCTAACTAATGACAAAACAGATGACCACAAAGCCAAAAGGGAGCAACTCGATAAAACAAACAATAAAATCTCAATCCTTTTCCCAGCTCCAAGGATGTGCCTAAACAGCAACAGAAGAAGAACAGGAGCTCAACAAAAGATGTGATTTCAGCGAAGAGGCTATTAGATCAATTTATGGCTATTTCTCAAATTAATTGGAGTTGAAGTTGTTTCATTGTTGATATGACTTTCAGTGATCCGTGTATGATTCGATCTCATTATGCCGTTCATAAATCTGGCTGCTCTGCGGAGTGCAACAAGGTGCATAAAGTTCCTGGTTTTGAAAGGTTTGAATTGTAATAACCTCTCTCTCTGTTGAGTTGCTTGACTAGAAGAATCAAAGCTCAATTCTTGCTCTTGCGCCAAGTGTTTTCTTCAGAAACAAACGGGATCTTTTAGTTGCTGAAGAATGCCTGATTTTATTATATACCACTTTGCAAATATCTTAGGAGGGCTCTCTCATTAGAATTCTGCACACATGATTTCAGTGATCAGTAATCTTTACATGCCATAGAGACTTTCGGTATGAACCGGTGATTAGTTCTCCTTCATCAGAATTCAGCACTACCTGTTATGGTTTAGGTTTGGGTATGGATACTAAGCAGACGTCCAACGGATACCTCAACAGATACTCCCTGAATACCTAAAACTTGATCAGGTCAGGTTTGTTTTATAACCGATCAGGTTTGGATAAAAATTTTGATTTCGGGTTCAAGTATTGCCATTGAATATCCATTACCATCCATATTAATTAAAATTACAAAAAAAACCACTAGATTTTATCAATAACAAAACAAATACAAAAACGAAACAAACCCAAAAGATACTTATTACCCAAAGAAATTTCAAACATATATTACATAAAAAAAAACCCATAAATTATCTGCTGAAAGAAAAATAATCAAAGGACACAATTAAGATTCTCAAAAATATATTTTTAATATGACACAGAAAATATAAAATAAATTTAGATTGTAAAAATAAATCATAAAATCATATGGAAAGCTTTTTCATATAAAATTCAAGTTTATTAAAATATATGATTCAAATAAAAATTTATGCATAGTTTAAATACCTTGAAATACATGATTCAAATATAAATTCATATATAATTTAAGTAATTTTTTATTAATTAATAATTAATAAATTTAAAATAAACAATCTAATTATAAATAATTTAATAATCAACTTAAATCAATACCGGAAAACATTTCTACCTCAAAGACACCTTTACCAACATTTGTAAAGCAAACCTGACTATTTAAAAAATATCAATACCAAACTTCACTTTATTAAATATAAAGTTAACCATCTAGGTGGTGGCCAAGTGGTAAAGACTTGGGATCAAGGGGTTTGCTCCCTCTGTGGTCTTAGGTTCGAGTCCTTGGTTGCTCATATGATGGCCACTGAAGGCTTACATGGTCGTTAACTTCAGGGCCCGTGGGATTAGTAGTGCGCGAAAGCTGGCCCGGGCCCCCACGTTAATCTAAAAAAAAAAAAAATATAAAGTTGATAGTAACACTTTTACCAACACCCATCAACACAACCATGAACCAACAACTATAAAACATTTCTATAACTTCACTTCATCAAATATAGAGTTGAAAGCGGCACTTTTACCGACACATGTTTTTCCAAGAACTATAGCTACATAAGAGAAATCAAGGGATTCCTATCCAATAGCCTCAAGATGCTCTGTTATGGCATTGGCATGATCAAAACCAGCAACACGACCACCATTTCTACTTCGCAGCTACTTAGCTAATCCCTGTATATATAAAACCTGTGCAATAATAACATTACGGGGAGTCTGCCCAAGTCTATGTGCACGCTGAAAAAATTTCACCCTGATCATCTGGTTTTTCAAGCGTCTCATCAAACTCTTCTGATTCCCCGTTTATACAATCTTCAATTTGTTGGGATTGCATATGAGAAATAGTTTCATTAGCACGAAGTTGCGGGGTTGCCTTGGTTGCAAGTTCCAATAGTGGTGCAGCGCGCCTAAGGCTAACTAGACGAGAAGGTGATGAGGTTGCACTCAGAGACTTTGCAGATAAAGATGCAATCTTAAAGTGAATAATTTTTGTTAATTTTGTGAAATTCAGTCCGTGTTTGACTGATTTTAACCAAGTTTAATCAAGTTTGCTAATTTTTAAGTTTTTTACCCGATTTTGCATGTTATATGCTAGTTGACTCAAAAAATCATGTGATTTTACGAGTGAGTTTAACAATCTTGGACACAACTTTTAAAAGGGGAAAAAAAAAAGCAATATAGACTAGATATGTAATTAACAAACCTTAATCTTAAATGGGTTTCTCTCTCTCTCTCTTCTTTTTTTTTTTAAACCAACACAACAAGACCAGATCAATAGTGTTTTTTTTTTATGTCATGCAATAAAAAATTTAGAGATTAAGAGAGTAGTGAAGATGAAAAAAAAAAATATAGTAGAGACCGAAGAAATATAAATTGTCAATTTTATACCTATTCTTTCACCTCCCTTCACAACTTTCTCCTTTTCATCTCAAATTGTTGTTTCTTTTTTCTCTCTTTTTTTTCTTTCTCCCTGTTTACCTCTTAGCTCAAATAATCTTTGTTCACTCAGCTCAAAACTCTTTTTGTTCTTTTCTCTCTCTTGTTATTTTTTTCTATTCCGAGTCATTTTTTGCCTTCTCTTACTCCTTCTATTTATAGATGTCAATTTTATCTCTTATTTAAACAATCTTATATGTTATTTCTTATCAAAAGATATTGATTATTCAAAACATTTTAGTTTAAAGCTTTTCTATAGCTTAAGGTTATAATTTGAAGGTCTGAGAAATTTTAGAGTTATACGTTGCATCAAGATTTGAGATATCCATAAATTTTAATTCCATCATGACTATTATTAATATTATTAGGTTTCGATAAGTAGATAGATAACACGCAGTAACCAAGAAATAAATCATATAGTATTTGGAATCTGATGTGACCTAAGAAAATGATGTCATTATTCGGAATGTCTAGTTAAGTGAAGAACTTTAAATAAAAAATGAGTACGAATTATATAAATTTAAGGTAATTTTCATATACCAATAATTATAGGTTGTAGTTGTATTTTTGAGCTACCTCACTTAATTGTATGATAAAGTGCCATAGTGTAACTAAGACAACCCCCCCCTTTTTTTTCTTTAAATATTATACAATTAAGGAAGCTATTCGTTTTCTTTTTAGTTTCATTATCTTATATTATGATGTCATGGTTTAAAGTTTTATAATTTATTTTGATTTATGTGCTCTAGCATATTCATAATGGCATGAAGCATTTTGACTTTAAGTTAAAGGTCAATATTTCAAAATATAAATTTTATTTATAATTTTAAAAAATAAAACAATAAGAACTAAAACTAACAATAAAAAAAGCCATTTTGGTTTTCTTTACTATTCATGAATTTTCTTCAAAGAGCCTCTTTAAAGAATTTATTCCATTAATTTCTTATGGTCCAAGATAATTTCTTTAAATTCAAACAGAGTTTTGTAAGTTTTTACTAAAGCAATTTGCTTCAGGTTGATTAAATCCTATATAAGATCATCATGGATAGTTGTTTCAAATTTAATTTGTAAGGCTTTTACTAAAGAAATCTAATAAGTAATAATCCATGTGTCAACTATCTCTTAAAACCAAGCAATTAGCTTACATTTTACATGAGAAATTGCTTTGATTAGTCAATGTTAAGGAGGGCGTGTTTATAGATGCTAAAAAAGGGTGTTATAATAGTTAAGAAATTGTGTTGCCTTATAAACCTAGACAACATAATTATTCTCATTAAAACAAGGAAAATTTTGTCTCATCGCCCTAAATTGGATTTACTAGTCGCTTTGATTTTCAGTTTCATATCTATAGTAGTTATTGATAAACATAGTGAGGGTGTTTAGAAAAAACTTCATGGGTTATTTACCCTATATCTTGACTATTTGGTCTATCTCATTTGGGATGTTCTATAATTGATTAATAAAATCCTCTAAAACTCTATATTATGTCTATTATTACTGTTTTTGTTATTGTTTCATATGATAATGTAACTTCCACTAACTGAGAAACTTGAGTTTCCTCTGTTATACCCTGCTAAGAAAAGTTGATTTTGATATCAAATTGTAACAAACTAGTTATAACTTTTATGTAAGAATATAAAAGTCAAGTAATGTAATGGAAAGAAATTTTGTACATTCTAAAATTTATTGAATTGTGGACTTAATTACAAATCAAGAAAAGAACTAAATTAAAATAAGAATTGGAGATTTATGAGTGAATCTAAGGTAGCTTGGGTCTTTTAATCTAAAACAACTTATCTAGAACATTCTTTAATACTAAACACTTCTACCTTTTTCAATTTAAAATGGAAATAACTAGGATTTAAAATTTGAATAGTCTTGAAAC